GAAAAAGTTAAAATATTGCAATAACTACCAAAAGGTGACATACAGACATGAAAGTAAGCTGTTGGAAAAATGGTGCCAACAGACTTGCTCGACACGGGGTTGCCATAAACGTTTTTTTTTTTTTTTTTTTTTTTTTGAGACAGAGTCTTGCTCTGTCACTCAGGCTGAAGTGCAGTGGTGTGATCTCGGCTCACTGCAACCTGACTCCCGGGTTCAAGTGATTCTCATGCCTCAGCCTCCTGAGTGGCTGGGATTACGGGCATGTACCACCACGCTGAGTTAATTTTTTTGTGTTTTCAGTAGAGACAGGGTTTCACCATGTTAGCAAGGCTGGTCTTGAACTCCTAGGCTCAGGCAATCCACCCGCCTTGGCCTCCCAAAGTGTTAGGATTACAGGCGTGAGTCACTGCGCCTGGGCTGCCATAAACATTTAATTTGTTAAAAAACACAGTCTGTGAAGTACAATGAAGCACAACACAACAAAACAAGATATGCCTTATTTAAGGCATTTTTTTACTCCATTTGATTTTTGGAAATTATATCATTAATATAGCATGTAGTGAAATAAAAAATTAAAATAGTATCTTAGGCCTCAAGCTTTTTATCCTTAAGAAGATGAAGCTGGATTAGATGATGTCTAAGTCCCTCTCTTCCGACATTCTTTGACAATAATTATATAGCACAAATCAGAAGATCATATGTCTACTGTATCTAAGTAGTAAATATACTATTGATCTAATTACCAACTGTATCTAATTCCAATTAAGTAAGAACTTCAGTTTTAAAGCAAGTTTACTATATCTAGACTAGTGACTTCTCTATTTTGGGGAATATATGTTTTACGAACGGTAAATATTATTGCCTATACAGACAATTAATTATAGTATCCATGCATTTTTTTTTTGCCTATTCACACAAAAAATGTATTTGAGAAATGCATTCATATTTAACAATAAAGTCTGGACATGTGCCAGTTATAAATATAACATATATCTGGTAAGAAAATAATTCTGTAATTTTCTTTCAAGTTTGTTAACTACATACAAGCCCTTACTTTCCTTATGGCTAATATTTTAGTGCTACTCAGTTACAGACTTGCCCAAATTCTACTGTCTACCACCATTTATTAAGTCGTTGGACCTATTTTCATATTCTTCCAATAAATTTTCAAAAGATAATATCTAAATTTTGAATAGTCCTTTTTTGGACAATATTAAGTAATAACTTGAAACACATTGTTTTACATAAGCAACAATTACATGCTAGATCAAGGAAATGGGCATATCCTTCATAAATAAAAAGAAGAATATACAGCAGAAAAAGTTTATTCTTTATTCAGAGTAAGTACTCTAGTGTAAATATACACTACTATTACATTCTTCACATCTGGCCTATATTACCTTAATAATATAAATTAGCTTAAACATAAAATAATCTTATACATTTTACAAATAATATCTAGATATCATTTTTTTAAAGTAGGTTTTCTATGTGGAAAGATAATAAAACTATACCTGGGTCTTCAAACTCTCAGGAATATTCACTTTAAATGTAAAGTGTTGTGTAATTGAATTTGTTCTTTTTTTAAATTTAAGTGAACCTACTGTCAATGGAAACAGCAAGTGGCTTTCAAAATGGACACATATCAGTGGATATTAAAGTAACATCTGTAGAGTACTTTACCACTTATAGAGTGCTTTAACATGTATTGTTATTTAACTGTTTCAACAATCTGTGAGGTCTGAGGTTTTTACCCAGGACTTGGGCAAGCAGGGAGGAAGAGGATGTCAGGTACCAAGATACTCAGTTCCTCCATATGTATGTCTTGCTTCATTTTATAGCATTTATAGTCTGTGAGGAATTGATGCTATTCATAACTAAACTACAGTGATTAGTACGTGGGCCCAGGGGCATTTACTTTGAGATACCATTTGAAGTTTTCATACTTTTTTTTTTGAATGCTAATAAATCGACTGCCAAAAAAGTGAGTACCAAGGTCTACGTCAGACAAGAAAATATCATTATGCTAGCTGCTTGTTATCAATGATTAATTTAACAAATATTATTGAATCATTACAAAGTATATATAGGTGAAGACCTAAAACAGTGTGTATCAACTGAACAAATAAACAGGGGACTTAATCATCTACTACTTGTAAAGCTGTCCTTGGTGAACTTGCTTCAAAACAGTTGTTGAAAAAATTTAAGTGTTAGGGGAGTACTCTAAAATTCTTTTCAACAGGATAACTATAAGTGTCTAATGGGACAATCTGTCAGATAACCTGAAAAAAGTCCCAATATAAATTAAACTGAAAGTCTAAAGATACTATATAAGAAACTACTAAAATCTTAAATAATGTTCACTATTTTACTCTTCATAGTAAAATGAACCAGAGTAAACCAGTTATGGAGCCAGAAGGTAATGATCTTACAATAAAAAATAGCAAAACTAAACCAAATCAAACCCTTACCTCCAAACACCGGGGCTTTTAAGTAAGGTAACTGTACTTTTTTATTATCCAAACAAAATCCACTTCCGAGACTTAAAAAGAGTGCAATTAATATTAGGCATAAACTGGGAATGTGCAAGACAAACCAGAATGTATGGTCTCCTGCTTAATAAGACACATGTCCCAGGCCATCCTGTTCTAAGATCATAAAAACAGAAAAAAACAGAAAGCATGAGGGAGCTCAAAGCACAGAAATAAACAAGAAACAAATAAAAACTTTCACAAAGTAGGGTTTCCTCAAGGTTGCAAATCAATTTGCATTAATAATATTTTAAGCAACGGTAAAAGGGAGGAGGGGCTGATGTGCTAAAATAAGGAGGACTGGCTGAAATAAATTTACGAAGCAGTCAGATCCCAGATCCTCTCCCCGACCCCAGCAAAACACTGGAAGTTTATTTTCTTAAGAACATAAAACAGTGGTTCTCTGCACAGTGGACCCCGGGCACAGCTGAGAAGAACATATACTATGCTGAAAACAAGAGCTTGGGTGAATGCATATATACAGATGCCGAATGCAGTGATACCCCTGACCTCAATCATTCTTCCCCTGCTGGGTTCCCAGAATGATGGCCTTCATTCTCAAGGCAAGAGACATGAAGAGTCTTCTCTGAGGAATCTGACCATCCTAAGAAGGAAGACTTAAAGTTACTGAGTAGAAGATTCCTCAACCAAACAGCCCAGCCAGGCCACTCTACTGTGGAACTCACTGTTGATAAGCCCCACTCCTATGCTCATAGCCTCCAATCAGCCTTTTTGTTCCTTACTATTAAATATAAACACACAAACAAAAATGTCCAGATGTCTAATGAAAGACTCTTATATAAAAGACAGAGATTAAAAGAAATACATAATAAACAGATTAAAGCAGCCTAAAGAGAAGTAATTTTTTTCTTTTTCTTTTTAATATACTGAGTGGTAAGAGAAGCAAAATTTTAAAAAATATCTATAAGTATCTTTCTCACGCAGATAGATACACGCAGAGAAAAAAAGTTTTTAAAATAATAAACTCAGAGTGTTTTTAAAAGATAAATCTGAGAAAGTCCGCACAGAAAGCAGAGCAAAACGTAACAGTGGCGACTAACAGGAAAGGAAAGGTAAGTCAGAAACGTAATATCCAAGTCATGGGAGTTTCAAAAAATAAAGGGGAAAAATCATCAATAAAAGAATTTAAGAAAACATTTTAGAACCAAAGAAAAGGAAGAATTCAAAGAAAGAATGAGCAAAAATGCATGAAAAGAAACCCATGCCAAGGCAGATTATTATGAAATTTCAAAATCCCAGGATAAAGGGAAGAACCTGAAAGTTTTCAGGGTAAAGCAGGTCTGAAAGGATAGGAATTGAATGGAATCAGTCTTACCAACAGCAACACTGAAACGGGAAAGTGAAGTAAAATGGAGGCAAAGTACAATTCTGTAGAAAAATTATTTTCAACCAGAATTCTATACTCAAATTACCAATCAAGTATGAGGGAAACATAAAGACATTTTCAGATATGCAAAGTCTAAAACATTTACCACTCATGCAAGCTTTCTCGGGAAACTAGCAGGGAGTTAACACCACAAAAATGAGGGAATGGACCAAGAAAGAGCAAGAAATGGAATACGGGAGACAGGAAATCCAACTCGGTGAGAGGTGAAGGGAGAACCTAGGAAGGCAGCCATAAAACCAGATGTCAAAAACAACCGGTTCAAACTGGACACTTAAGAAGATAAAATGGATAGAACACCCAAAGTGTCTGAATGTCTTGACAGAATTAGACAACTGATGAAAAAGCAAACAAAAGAAACAAGACAACTCTGAAAAGATTTTTAAAACAGACAGAAAAACAAAAACGGGAACAGGAAAAGTGACCATAGTTTACCACAGGGCTCCTGCTGTGAAAAGCATTTACATAATCAGAATAATGTAAATACTAACATGGATGTAACAGAAACAAGGAAAACGTCTTATTGTGAGATCTAGGGTATAAAAATGATACAGCGGGGACAAGGGAACAAAAAAGGTAAAATCTTCACCTCCTGTTGGGGGGAGTCTATAGAAAATGACAAAAACTAAACAAACAAACAAACAAACAAACAAAAACCAAGAAGTGCAAGATAGCCATGCTATTTTGAAAGTAGGGTTAATCAACTACAAGTTAGAGGTCACAGTGCAGAAGAGGGCATGGAGGACCCCAGGGAGGAGACCTGCTTGCTGTTTTTTTTGCCATAACTGTGTAGAATTGTTGGTCTCTAGATAACAAGTGTGCACAAAATTTTGTTAAACTATTTGATTAAAATAGAAAAGGAAAAGAAAAAAAGAGGGGACTTAGTGAAAGAAATCTCAAAAACATTTTAATTGAAGTGCCAAATTGCTCAGACCTCAGCCGGTATCAAACTGCTTTTCCCATAACTAAAGCTACACCACTGTGTATATCATTTGAGTATGATTATCAACCTTCCTCCATATTCTTCCAGTATGAAGACAGACAGGGAGTTTTCCAAATCTTACCTCGAGCAGAGCTGCTGCGGGATCACCCTGTAGACTTTTTCCCAGTTTGTCAACCTCATCTAATAGGAACACTGGGTTGTTCACTCCCACAGTCTTCAAGCCGTTGATGATGCGACCAGGCATGCTGCCAACATAGGTGCGCCTAGAGAAAGCAAGCAGCACATCCACAGTGTGAGATGTCAGGAGGCAGGAGCGACGCCATACAGAAATGGAAACTTACGAATGTGAAAAGATCATTTAGCTATCACCATAATATAGCAAAGAGATACTATGTATTTAAAAGGCACTATGATAAAATCAAAAGTTATTATATTCAATTCCAACCTTATCTTCTACTTAATTCTGGTTACAAGTTGCCCATGATATTGGAAGAACTGTATCACATTTGCCATTTGGTGAAATGAAGAAACATGACACTTACGTCACCAGTTATGGTTCTTACTCTTCAAGATTCCAAAATGTCCAAAGTACCCTATGAATTCCCATGCTTTCCATGATTTTCCAGAGCATCCCCCTACCCAACGCAACCACCTTTATATACACTGAAATGGCTGCCCCAGGGCCAGCTAAAACATCATCATGTTCATGAAGGAGATTAAAATCTGTTCAAAGGGCCACTCAGAATGTAGACCAAAAACAAAAAAAAAAAAAGAAAAACTCCAATCTCTTTTATTTTCAGAGGCAATAATCTGTTAACTATAGTACGAGGATCTGGGGTCAACAGTATTTATATCAGAATTCCATTATTCTTATTCTGTCATTTTGAACAAAACTGTATTCATTCCATATGCACTAATTGGCAATAATCACGTTCAGCCAGCCAGGTATTTTGTTGAATGTTAAAATGTGAGAGCGTGCTTTATCGTATTTGGACCAGAATCACCCATACAATCATGACAGATGTAGACTGTGGCATGAAATAAAAACACATATGTTTATCAAACCAAAAAAGGTGCATTTTTTACAAAGCCAGCAAAACTGAAAGCAGCAATTTACTAATTTTAATTATAACCTTGCTGTCTACGTTGTGCAAAGCAAATGCTGTCTCTGAAGAGGCATAAAAGCCTGACTGCCGAGAAGAAAACGATCAACGAGAAGTGGAACAGCCGCAGTTACCTCATGATCTGCACAAAGCCGATTCACAGAGCAGGCCTGAATTCTGCCACATGACTGGTATAAAGTAGGACAGAATAAACAGAGTGACCTTTGAAAAGACAAGCAAGCCTTAAAAACATCGTGGGAATGCCTTTCATCTGGGAAAGGTGACCACGGGAAGCAAATGCAATAAACATTGTCCTGTTAATATAAGGAATTAGCACATTCAAGATTTCAGAATCAGATACAGGAAAGATAAGACACAGAATTAATAAACTCTTTCAAATTATTTTTCTAGAGAACTTACAGATTTGCCATTACTCTGATTTTTAAGAGTGGTAGGGAAGGGAATTTTTTAAAAGAATCTCAAAGCCTCTAACAGGTCATTTTTTGCTGCAGTTATTTATTTGCCTTTCCTTTTTTGATGAGTAAACTTTAAAAACAGGTACTGACAATTCTACACCTAAAGTTACGGAGAGAAAATAATATTCTAGGTAGGCACCCTTTCTAAAAAAAGTGGAATCCTAGATTCTACTCACACTGTATATAAGCAATTCCTCTTACATTTTCCATTGCTTCCCAGAGCCTACGGAATAAGGTTCAAACTCCTTTGTCTGGAGTTCGAGGCTCTTCACAATCCAGCTCCCATTCATCTTCCCCAACTTGCTGCCATTACTTTCTTGCTTCATCCACAATCAAGATCCTATTATGCTCCTTAAACTTTTTACCTTTGTTAAAAATATGGTGCCTTCCTGCCCTTAATACTCCTCTTCCTGCTTACGTAAATCCCAACAATTCTAAGAAACTTTTTCTGACTACCTCTCACAAAATGACTGCTCCAATAATGCAACGTCTACTGCATTTACTGCCCCCATAACTCATCTGATGGTTACTTATGACCTAGTTTTTATTCATGGGTATAATAACCTCCTCTAAAGAGCCAGTGAGCACTTTTATGACAGAGACGGGGTCTCGCCACAGAGCAGTGGCTAGATATAGAGCCGTAAGACTGTTCCCCACCAGATCCACCATGCCAGCACTCAAAGCATCTTTCCGTCAGCACTCTAAAGGTAACATAGTACAAGCCTCTGAATACTATTTTGGGCAAATTACTTGACCTAAGCCTCAGTTTCCTCACCTATAAGATGGGGATAATAGTGTCAACTTGGTGGGTTATATTAATATAAAGATCACGAGAGAACACAGGTAAAGCACACAGCACGGTGCCTGGCATACAGTGAGCTTTCCAAAGATGCTCATCATTATTAGCAACAGCTACTTAAAGTTTACTTCTGGTTTCCTGGAAAAAGCACAAGAGCAGAAATCTGTACACCTGAGTCCCAGTTCAATTTCCGCCTCATGGAAGCAACTTTTGCAAATGTCTTTTATAGCAGACAAGAGAGAAAAACATAGGCATTTCACCATCCACTCTTCCTACCTATTCAATTAAAGGGCTCCCTCAGGCTATAATGCAAACCATTAAAACAAAATTTACAAAGAATTTGGAATATAAAAGAGTTTAAGTGTTACAATGTTAAGAGAAAATGACAGGATTACAATTCTGTTACTTAAAATCCAGTGATAAGTTTGGCAGTACAAAACAAATGTTAACAGTGATTATCTTTGTATGGTAGAAAAACATGAGAATTTTTTTTCATTTTTCCTTTTTCACATTTTCTACCAAAGGTGTGTGGATATGTAGGTGTGGGTGTGGGTGTATGTGTGGGTGGGTGTGTGGGGGGGTGTGTGTGTGTGTATCTCAAACTCGAAAAAGTAATCAGTTTAAAAAAGATTCTAATGATCTCAAAAAGAAAAATAGTCTTTAAGAAACTGAGATTTTAATGTATAATAGCATGTCTAAACAAACGCAATTCTTCTTCTGGTAGTCATTACTGAATCTTTTTATAGACTAACTTGTATGGGTGTACTCATCTAAAGGGTTGCATAACTTCCAAAATACTATGTTTTAATCTTATATGAATTCACAAACACTTAGAGAGCACTCACCACATTTAGCACTATGTTAAATAAGCATAATGGGGTACATAAAAGAAGATATATAATAAATCCCCTGCCTGAGAAAGCTTGTACTTTTTATAAACGTATTTATGTTTCATCTCCACAGTTGTATGGTAGAAATGCCAGAGGCCCGTATTCTATAAAGGAGCACAATAGGTGGTCAGTTTAGAGTAGAGTAAAATCATAACTGACTGCACTTACATTAATGGAGGAAGCCTTGGGTTGAGTCTTTAAAATAAACCTAAGTTTTGGAGAGGCAAAGAAGAGCTGCATGCAAATACAAGTTGAAAGGATAGTGGGCAAACCATAATATATCTGGTACACTATGCTAAAAAATATATTAGAAGCTTGCTGCCTCAGTTATTTTTCCCTTGTAGAAACTAATAATGAAACAGTTTATTTATAACTTTACCATTTCAGGTTACATATGAAAATGTATCAATGTGGAAATCACAAGGTCATTTTTCTTCTCATCTTGTTTGCAAGTTGAGACAAGGATTTCTCACAATAATATAATTTTATTATCTAAATAAACAGCTGGTAAATTATTTCTAGGAGTGAATATCAACAGTGATTTAAGATATATCATAACAGTAATATATTATTTTTTACCAAAGAACAAATGAAAAACAATTATGCAAACATGATTTCATAAAACTTCATCTTAAAAGAAGTTACTTTATATTTAATTTGTGTGAATTGATTTACATTACTTAAATGTAATATTTAAATATAAAAATTTAAGTTGTTAAAACTGATAGAAGAGAACGGGTATTTTATGGCTTATAAAGTGGACAGAAAAATCACAGTGGAGATAAATCCAAATGAGAAATGTCGAAAAGACTGAAAAACTGAATGAGTTAATACATAGTATAAACATTATTCTCCCTTTAAGCTACTCAAAACAATATAGACAAAAATGAGTCAATGTTTAGTCAGATCACTATTCTTTTCCAAGTGTAGGATTAAATGTTAAGGCAAGCCTTTCTTTTTCTTCCCCATCTCCCACCTCATTATCGTTTAACCCTAAAAAATATATCTTTGCTTGTTTTTAAAATAAATCCCCAACTTATCAGCATCCTCCTTCTCATACGCAGATACTTTCAGCAAAAGGCCAGGGTTCCACACATGGAAAAACAGGGAGAGTGAGTGGCAAAATCGAGAGGATAAGCAAGTGCAGTAACAAAGCAGCTTTCTTTTTCCTTGGCGATTCTAAGACTGCGGAACAGTGGTGCCTACTCAGAGGCTAAGGAAAAACAAAACTTTTCATGAACTCTAACTGTGAGCACGTGACCAGTACTCAAATGCCAAGACCTGGGTTGTCTCCCAAATGCCTCAACTGTCACATGGAACCACATGTTCCCCCAGGCACACCCACGGTTGTGCTGGAATCATCAACTGTTCTTTCTCTCCTCCTCCTATTCACCTTCAATTCATAACTGACCTAAGTGCATGCTCTGCCCTCACCCTTTCCTCAACAACTGAACCCCACTACTCTCCATGTGCTTCCAAACAGGGTTTGAAATAAAATTTTTCTACAGGCTTTACTAATTTACGGGGTAGCTGGGTAATACGTCCCCAACAGCACAAGGGCAGGTTGCTATAGTAGTTAATCAAACATCTGGTACACTGACAGCTAAGTAACACTTACCAGCAAGGTGTATCTAAAATCAGGCTGAATAAAATGATTCACAAAACAAACCCTGATACTTTTTACTCGGCAACCATCACAGCCTCCATATATACGTTTCTAAAAAGGTTATATTTACAAATATTTTAGGCAATGGTGATTGTAACATGACCTCCTGTTACAAGACTCATAAAGTCAAGTCTTATTTTCTTTAGGCTCAATTTTCTTAATACAGTCACACACACAAAAGCATATTCACTTGAAAAAAAGAACAAATTTTATATGTCAGTAAGGATTTAAAACAGAGATTTATTTTAATCCAACGATGTTCATAAGTGGTGAGAACCATGACACTATACATTGTCCAGTAATACGCAATAGAAAAATGCATTTTCCCATAATTCTGCCATATAAATTAAGCAATAATGCTGAGAATAGGATAAATATTTTAGAAGGCAATTTAAAAAATCAGATTGAAATTTATAAAAACTCATACTGAAGCTTGTAAATCTAAATTTGTCTTCTTGAGAATTTATTAATAGAATTTAAATGGTTAAAGCTAATTTTTAGTGAATGCTGTGTGTCAGACATTCAATAAGTGCTTTCAAAGCCTTATCAAATAATCAATACCAATGTGAAAAGAAACAGAACAAATTACCTACGTGTCATGTGCTTATGATGTCAATTTCATATAATTCCACAAACTCACTGTCTAAATGCCATCAAATACTTACTCTGTAGCTAAAATGAGAAGATTTAGGCCCTAGACGCAGCTTCTTTAAGTTTGGTCCAAGAGAAATGCCAATTCCTTTACAAAAGCAAACTACAGCCTCTAGTGGTACATGCAAGAATAAGAAGTCTAGGCAACAAAAATATCTTTTGAAATTGCCAGAAGAAATCACCCAAATCAATTCTCTACTCTGATCTGCACCCCTCATTGTTTATTTACTAAAATCTTGTGATGATTCTTTTTTAAAATTTATTATTATTATTATTTTTAGAGATGGGGTCTCACCATGTTGCCCAGGCTGGTCTTGAACTCCTGAGCTCAAGTAATCTGCCTGCCTCAGCCTCCTAAAGTGCTGGGATTATAGGTGTGAGCTACCACACAAGGCCAGTAATGATTTTTTTAAAATGCATAAGAATTTTAAGTGAGCAAATAAAAGAGAATAAACATAAGCATTTCTCACAGAAAAGTTTCTGAAACAGTTTTCCATCCCTGTCTATGGCTAGGGATCCCTTTGAATAAGGCAAATAGAGAACAAGATATTTAAAAAGCATCATATTCTTTTATAAGCAGTTTATGGTTTCTACATTTAAACATGTTCTTTAACACATACACTATAGGTATGTTTTCTCACAACTTACAATTGCTATGAATCCCTTAAACCATGAAATGTAAATTCATGCCTTCTCAAGGCATCTTCCATCAGATCAACAGAGAGATCAGGGAGAACAATGAATGCAACATGCAAATCTGATTCTAATAATGTCAGATGAATCAGAAACAGTTTCCTCGTTGTTGTTTGTTTGTTTTTTGAGATAATGTCTCTGTCTCCAGGCTGGCGAGCAGTGGGACAATCATGGTTCACTGCAGCCTGGACCTTCCCAGGCCTAAATGATTCTCTCACCTCAGCCTCCTGAGTAGCTGAGACCACAGGTGCATGCCACTGTGCCTGCCTAATTTTTTAATTTTTGTAGAGACAAAAATTAAAATTTAAAATTTAAATATAAATTTTGTAGAGACAAAAGTGTTTCCCTATGTTGCCCAAGCTGGTCTCAAACTGTTGGGCTCAAACAATCCACCCATCTCTGCCTCCCAAAGTGTTAGGATTACAGGCATGGGCCACTGCACCCAGCCTAGAGAGACAGTTCTTACAGTTTATTGTTTTTTTGATAGAAAGTGAGTCCAAAATGCAAGAATAAGCCTTAATAATTATGCTAACATTTATCCTTATTACTCATATTCATAATACAAACCGACCTTCATAAAAGGAAGCTTAGATTGCAATCAGAACAAGCTTGTTATCAATGACTTCCTACCTCCTCCTATTGGTCCTCCCTATTGCAGTTACTTTGTTTAACTCTAAGAGTTAGAGGTTATTTATGGACCGCTACTGGGTTGAAAAGAGTGTAAAGACATAATAATATCCAATCATAAATAACTTATAATTACATTCAAATGAGATTCCAGGAAAGCTGAGGCACAGAGTAGGTATCCACTGTCAAACAAAATCAAGGTCAGTTTGGGTGCTTAGAGGCTCTAGGCTACCTGGTATGTCTTGTAAATGTCCTTTCCATTGAAGGTACCACAAATAGCCCTTTAAAGAAAACAGACGTATGCTATGCCTAAGCTTTTAGGGAGCTCTAGTCAGTTAAAAAGAAAGAAGAATCAGAGATTAAACTGAGAGAAGTGTTCTACCTGTGTCCTCGAATGTCAGACTGATCACATACTCCTCCAAGTGCAATCCTATGGAACTCTCGACCTAGAGTCTTGGCCACTGATCTTCCCACACTTGTTTTACCAACCCCAGGAGGGCCAACAAAGCATAGGATTGGGCCCTTCAGGTTATTTTTCAGCTGTCTGACAGCCAAGTATTCCAGCACTCTTTTCTTCAATTTTTCCATGGCATAATGGTCATTATCCAGAAGAATCCGGGCTGCCCTAATGTCCAGGCGGTCTGTCAAATAACCCAACAGAAATAATTAGAACACATAAAATTTTTAAGTTAAAGAACTCCTTTCAAGCATAACGAGAGCAAAATATTTTTTTCTGAAAACAGATGTGATAAGAACAGACTTGGATCCTTCTAAGTGAGGCTTCTAGGAGATCTGCACTTGGTTTGGTTTTTCTGCTTAAGACTTAGTGTCTCCAGAGATAGCAGGGACTACACAATTAAAAACTCAATGTTCATATCATTTTATTTGGAATGATTTTCTAGTTATGCATTACTTCTTATGGAGATATAATTTCTACATAGTCTATGTGTGCTGGCATTTTAAAAAAGGGTGATTTTTTTCCTTATTTCAGTAGTAATATATGTTCATTCCAGAAAAGCTGATACACTAATAGAAAAGAAGAAAACAGTTACCCATAATCTCATGCCTGCAAGAGATCACCACTACCTTTACTTCAGTATGTGTTATTCCAGGCTGTGTGCGTGCATTTACAAACCTACTTTTCAAAATGGGATTTTATGGGGCCTTTAAGTTTTGTAAAATGTTTTTTTCACTTAATATATTACAGACAACTTTCACTGTCACACATATATTTATCAGTAACATTCTATGGCTACTTAATACTCCATTACTTAATTATCTATATTCATTTAACTACTTCCCTACTGCTGAGCATTCAAGTTGTTTATACATCTTTACATTTATAAAAGATGCTTCAACTGTGCATCACTGTAACTAAATCATCCCATATATCTGCAATGATTTCTTTCAGATTATCTTCTATGAACAGAAGTGCTGGGTCAAAAAAAAAGAGATGATGTAAAGAATTGCCTAACTGCCACACAGAAAGTTGTATCAAAGTCTCACCAGAAGTGTGTGAGTTAGGCTTTGTTTCTAGAGCCAGGCTTTCAACAGGTTTACTAATATGTTTCAGCACTTAAAATACTCAGATTAAACACCAGGTAACAGAAGCCAAAATAAATTCACCAGATGGGTGGCTGCCAGAGGATAATACACAGCCACATGATCATGCTGGCAGTGAAAGAAGAAGATGGGAGAGAGAAATACACACAGATCTTTTAATTAATTAGTACATACTCTTTTAATTATCTAGAATTTGCTACGGATTTTTCATAAAGGAAAAAAATGGCCTGAGATGGTAATTTGGTTCCCAAGCTAGTTCCCCCAAAAACCTAGCTAAGCAGTAAACTATATAATTTAATTATAGTACTATTGATTTTAGTCAAGAGTCCTAGGTGAGTGATGCAAGAGGAGAAAAACTAAAATTTCTTCCCCCTTTCCTGGCGCCAGAACCCAACCAATGAATATATGAAGAAGTGAAAGATAGAAAGTTTCTCAATTGTTTCACAATGCTAGCCCTGACACTAAAACCTACCACAGTAAACCTAAAAGAAAACCTCAGACATCCCTTTTTATATAGCTGTAAATATTAAAATGATAGTAAATCAAATCTATAAAGAATAATCTACTAAATCCCAGTGGGATTTATTTTAGTTATGCAAAGATGGTTCAATGTTAGGTCATCAATATCATCATGTCCAAGAAGAGTAAGTTTCCATCAAAATATCATCTTGTACCTAAAAAGGTACTTGTGATAATGCATTATCCATTCATGATTAACACATTCAGAAAGGTAAGAATAAAAGTCAAGATAATTTAGAAAAGACACAACACTGTGAAGAAATTTCCTCCAAGAAATGTGCCAAGTAAAGATAATTTTAAAAGTTCTTTCAATCTTTTAAGTAAAGGTGATTTCCATGCTGTATACATTATTTTCTATCTTTTCCATACAAGAATAACTTTTTCTAGTTATTCTCTTTAATGATTCAGAAATGATTTTGAATAACATGTGGTTACATGAAAAAAAATTTCAAATTTCAATATAAATTTCCCTATTTATAATTGGAAGATTGAAATGGTATCTACTGACTCCTCTGAGATGGAAAATCTGCAAAGATATTTCCTACAGCTCTTTCCTCTCTGCTTTCCTTTCTGCTTTCAGTTACTATCTGAGATCTCCACTTGGTAGGTAAACTTCTCTTTCAGAAATTACGAATGGGGGGCTGGGCTTGGTGGCTCACACTTGTAATCCCAGCACTTTGGGAGGCCGAGGTGGGAGGATCACTTGAGGTCAGGAGTTCGAGACCAGCCTGGCCAACGTGGTGAAACCCCATCTCTACTAAAAATACAAAAATTAGCTGGGCATGGTGGCAGGCGCCTGTAATCCCTGATATGCAGGAGAATCGCTTGAACCCAGGAAGCAGAGGTTGCAGTGAGCCGAGATCGCACCACTGCATTCCAGCCTGGGTGACAGGGCAAGACACCATCTCAAAAAACAAACAAACAAACAAATGAAGATATTTAGGCTGGACATAGTGGCTCAGTGGCTCAGGTCTGTAATCCCAGCACTTTCGGAGGACAAGGCAGGCAGATCACTTGAGGGCAGATCACTTGAGGCCAGGAGTTCTAGACCAGCCTGGCCAACATGGTGAAACCTTGTCTCTACTGAAAATACAAAAATGAGCCGGGTGTGGTTGCAAGCGTCTATAATCCCAGCTACTTGAGAGGCTGAGGCAGGAGAATTGCTTGAACCCAAGAGGCGGAGGTTGCAGTGAGTCAAGATCACACCACTGCACTCCAGATTGGGCGACAGAGTGAGACTCCGTCTCAAAAATATATATATGAATGGCATTTTAATGGTTTTATAACCACACTCACAATTATCTAGACATAATCCTATGTAGCAAAGGTTTAGGAGCTTAACATGACTCCTTTTATACCATAATTTACTCATCTTCAGTTCTTCATTGAAATGCTAAACAATGGAATTATTTTCATGATGGATACATGGCTGCTATACATCTCTAGTGCTGACACATATGGCATCTCAGAGTACCAAGAAATGTCTCCTTTCAACTAAAAGGCAGTATTTTGTTATGACATGCAAACTTTAAATAAATTAAAAAATAAATTTACTACCACAGCTCACCATAGCTTTATTTTTTGATATTTTATTTTATTAAATATTTTTATTTTATTTATTATTTTATTTTTTAAAACAGAGTCAAGGTCTTCCTATGTTACCCACGCTGGTCTCAAACTCCTGGGTTCAAATGATCTGTCCACTTTGGTCTCTCAAAGTGCTAGGATTACAGGTGTGAGTCACTGTGCCCAGCCAGCTTTATTTTTAATAGCCAAAAAAACTGAAAACAACCCAAATGTCTATCAACAGATGAAGTGATAAACAAATGATGGTATATCCATACAACAGAATACAACTCCAGCAATAAAAAGAAACAAATTACTGTTATATACAGCAACATGGATGAACCTCAAAATAATCATGCTGAATTGAAGAAGCCAGGAAAAAGGGCTCATACTCTATGATTCCATTTATATGAAATTTTAGAAAATACAGATTAATCTTTAGTGGTTGCTCGGGGATTAGGAGGCAAGGAGGAAAGGGGAAGGGAAGAAGGAAGGGATTATTGAAGAGCATGAAGAAACTTCCGGAGGTGATGGTTGTACTCATTATCTTAATTATGGTGATAACATTACAGATGTATACATAAGTCAAAACTCATCAAAATGTACATATTACATTTGTGAAGTTTACTCTATGTCAATTACACTTCAATAAAGCTCAAAAAAGAAAAAAAACCTTTCTCTAAAGAGAAATTAAGGGCCAGGCGCAGTGGGTCACATTTGTAATCCCAGCACTTTGGGAGGCCGAGACGGGTGGATCACTTGAGGTCAGGAGTTCAAGACTAGCCTGTCCAACATGGTGAAACCCCGTCTCTGCTAAAAATACAAAAAATTAGCCAGGTATCATGGCGGGCGCCTATAATTAAGGCTACTTGTGAGGCTGAAGCAGGAGAATCACTTGAACTTGGGAGGCGGAGGTTGCAGTGAGCCAAGATCACGCCACTGCACTCCATCCTGGGCGACAAGAGTGAAACTCCATGTCAAAAAAATTAATAAACAAATAGAAATTAAGGAAACAATCTCATTTACAATAGTTTCAGAAAGAATGAAATACTTAACAACAAACTTAACCAAGGAGGTAAAAGGTCTGTACGCTAAACATCATAAAACACTGATGAAAGAAGTTAGACACAAACAAGTGGAAAGATATTACATGTTCATAGACTAGAAAAATGTTGTTAAAATATCTATACCACTCAAAGCAATCTACTAGTTCAATGTAATCCCTATTAAAATTCCAATGACATTTTTCACAAAAATAGATTTTTAAAAATCCTAAAATTAATAAGAAATTACAAAAGACCCTGAATAGCCAAACCAATCTGGAGGAAGAACAAACGTGGAGACACCAGACTTTCTGACTTCAAGTTATATTACGAAGCTACAGTAATCAGAGACTATGATTCTGGCACAAAAACAGACACACGGACCAATGGACTAGAATGGAGAGCCCAGAAATAAACCCTATAAGGTTAGCTAGAAAGTCAACTAATTTTCAACAAGGGCACCAAGAATATACAACAGGGAAAGGCCAGTCTCTTCAAAAAAATGTTGTTGGGAAAACAGATACCCACATGCAGAAGAACGCACTTGAACCCTTATATTACACCGTGTTCAAACATTAATTCAAAATGGACTCAAGACTTAAATGTAAGGCCTGAAACTGTAAAAGTCCTAGAAGAAAATATATTTTAAAAGCTCCTTGACATTGGTCTGGGCATGGTATTTTTGATATGACACCAAAGTCAAGTCAACAAAAGCAAAAATGAACAAGTGAAATTATATCAAACTAAAAAGCTTCTGTACAGAAAAAAAAGTTCAGCAAAATGAGAAGGCAACCTATGTAACGGGAGAAAATATGTGCAAACCATATATCTGATAAAGGGTTAATATCCAAAATATATAAGGAACTCATGAAACTTAACACCAAAAAATCAAATAAGTGCTTATCATGACTAATAATCAGGGAAATGCAAATCAAAACCACAATGAGAAAGCACTTTATGCCTGTTAGGATGGCCATTATTAAAAAAAACAAACCAACCATAACCAGTGAAGGTGAGGATATGGAGAAAAGGGCACCGTTGTACACTGTTGTTCGGAATGTAAATTGGTATAGCCATTATGGACACAGTATGGAAGTTACTAAAAAAGTTAATAAAACAACTTCCATATGATCCAGCAATCCCACCTCTGGGTAAATAGCCAAAGGAACTGAAATCAGGATCTCAAAGAGATAGCTGCCCTTCCGTATTCACTGCAGTATTACTTACAATAGCCAAGATACGGAAACAAGTGAAATGTCTACTAATACATAAGTGAATAAAGAAAATGTGGTATAGACATACAATGGAACATTATGCACCTTAAAAAAGAAGGAAATCTTGCCATCTGTGACAACATGGATGGAACTACAAGGCATCATGCTAAGTGAAATAAGCCAGAAACAGAAAAGACAAGTACTGTATGATTTCACCTATTTAATGCATGTGGAATCTAAAATAGTCAAACTCATAGAAACGGAGAGTAAACTCGTAGTTGCCAGGGGATGAGAGGAGAAGAAAATGGGAGGTGATGGTTAAAGGGAACAAAGTTTCAGTTATGCAAGATAAATAAGTTCTAGAGATCTACTACAAAGAAAAGTGCCTATCACTAACCATATCGTTAATTTAACATTAGACCTTATGTTCAACGTTCTTACCACCAGCACCAAAACAAAAAAGCCAATAATAATGACGATAATAATAATCACAAAAGACATAGGAGGAAACTTTGGAGGTGATGGATATGTTTATGGCTATGAGGACTGTGATGGTTTCATGTGTGTATACTTATTCCGAAACTCACTGAGATGTATTCATTAAATATATACAGCTTTTTGTATGCCAATCACACTTCAATCAAATGGTTTCAAAAAAATTGAAAACAAAAATAACAGTAAGACAATCAGTGGAGTAAATCTGAAATGAAAAACTGCATGAGCTTTCTGAGTGACAATTAGACTGCAAAAAAAGGTGTAATTTTTTGGCTTACCAGTTGTGCTTTTGTTCCAAGGAAGTTCTACCATAAGTTCCAAATAATTTCTAGTCAGAGCATATTCTGGCATTGACTGAGGCATTTTTTTGAGTCTGTGGAGAAAGAATGCACAGCAAACTTGTTCAAGAACACAGAAAAATTCTGTAACAGAAAAATCAAACAGCTCTCTTTCTTGGTTAGATATATCAGGCATGTTTAGTTAAACAAATCTGAAAAAGTTTGAAAGCATCCAGATAATAAAACGTTTATTTTGTTTTGTAATGTAATGATCACCACTCCTCTCTCTCTCCCCAGCCTACTTTACTGCCCCTTCTGTAGTCCCACCAGGGAGGGGTTCTTCCCTTCTGCTCTGCTTTCTCTACAATGTATTCTCATATTTTGTAAGTACTTAATGTACTTACAAAACAAAATAAGGCAGATACCTGCAAACTGCAGGAGAAAACAGTATATCTAATTCTATCCTGGAAATATGGCCTCACTAGTGTGTGTCCCTTTTAAGCTCACAGGGATAGTCAAGTGACACATATCCATTGGTTTACTTATCACAGTAAGATGTAAGTGCCTAACTATGCGTAATACAATAATTTTATTCTTTTGTATCAGAGATGAGTGAGGTCTGCTCATAAAAGCAAGCTAATACCATATACTTAATAACAAATGCTACTTCCATAATATATGCAGTGCTGAGCAAAGTGTTGTGCACATAATAAATGTTCTATATATATTAACTAATGTCAGAGGCAATATAAAATACCCATCAACTACAATTACCAATGTTCTTAACTGTGAGCCTCAGAAAGTCAAATATGAAGTCACTAAGCATTCAAGCAGGCTCATTACAATTCACTAATAAAAGAAAATGGAATAAGAGTTATAAAGTTAAAAGTATGTAAAGGAAAAATGGCTTTCAGTTTAACACTGGGGATACCCAGAAAATGTAATCAACCCACATATCCTATTCTGTTATCAAGGTTTCCCTGTACTTTGTCTTGTACGAAGAGAAACGGACAGTCCTTGCCCTTGAGAGTTTATAATCTAGAGAAGAAAAGTCACGTGAAGAATACGATGCTAACTGAATAAACATTACGTATAAACAAAGAAGCATGGTCTGTTCTTTCAGACAACAAAAAGGCAGCTGCAAGAGTTATAATGCTTGACAGCACACTGCAGGTGGAAGACTTGCACCATGTATCCTCAGTATTTGAGAAAAGAGTAGTGAAAGTGGTGTTAATCAGGAGTACTAAGAATGTTAATCAGGAGTACTGAGAATGAAAACAATAATGAACAAATGCCTTTTATAATTTACCTCTTTATCTCTTTGACACAGACTTTATGGGCCTGCTCTGGCATACTAGATGTTTGTATTTTTTTCTCTAGCATGACAATGTCATCATTATCTTCATCTTCATCTTCATCTTCTAAAGTACCTGAGATATGTGTAATTCTCCTAATAGGGCGTATTGCTATAACCTAATGTAGAAAGCAGAAGAGTAAAACCGTATGTCAAAATAAATTGGAAATAGTACCCAAGTACACCCAAGATTATGACTGGTGCTGAATAAACATTTTTATGACTATAGTCTATAGCTTTAGGAAGTGAAGTTCAGAATGATAATCTGAACTTCAGGCGGTTGTATACAGAGAGGCAGTAGAATTGCAAAAGCAGACCAGCATAAGGTAGACATGATTCTTTGGTATATGCTTACAATAATACGTGCATGAGAAAACAAATTTCAAGGAACTGGATACCAGAAATGATTAAACCATCTAGGAACTATCTTTCTTTCAGCTACTATTGCAGCCACTATTTTCTTGAAATACATTACTTCTTACCATTTGGTGACTGAAAAAAAATCCATTTTATTTCTCACATTACAAAATTTCTTCCTAGCATCTTCAACCTTTCCACCACTGGCTCTATTTTGTCTTCAAAGCTTTCCTGCTTTCAAAATATTTTTTCTTACCTCTAGTTCCTTCTAGTTAACTACCACACTATTTACTTCCCTTCTTGTGAGGTTCTGTGACAAGTGGCTATAACCACCAGATCCCCTACCTCATCAATCACTTCAGTGAGCCTTTGGCATCTGTTCCCATCCTGCCAAAATTGTTCTTTCAAATCTAAAAAACATACTCTGTGCAAAGTCAAATGGCCTTTGTGTTCTCCGCTATGATCTCTCTATCATATGTTAAAACTACCTTATGTGCTCCTTGAAATTCATGAATAAACAACCATTACTGGAGCAAAATGATATACTAGCATTTAATTTAAAAGCCCCCAGAATATTTTATTTTTTGAGACAGAGTTAAGCTTTGTCATCCAGGCTGAAGTGCAATGGCATCAACACTGCTTACTGCAGCCTCAACCTCCCTGGCTCAAGCAATCCTTCCACCTCAGCTTCCTAAGTAGCTGGGACTACAGACACACACCACCATGTTGGCTAATTTTTAAATTTTTTTTTTGTAGAGGTCTCACTATGTTGCCCAGCCTGGTCCTGAACTCCTGGCCTCAAGCAATTCTCCTTCCTTAGCCCCCAAAGTGCTGGGATTACAGGTGTGAGCCACCACATTCAGCTCAGAACTTATTTTTTAACCTGGAAAATTTATCTATTTAATACATTCAAATATAAAAATGTTTAAAATATAAAGCAGTAAATAAAAATTTAATTTTATAAAAACATAAGTACTAAATATATGCTTTTATTCTTATATAAGTCATCAGCAGATAAAATATTATAAATAAAAAACTGAACATATTATATATATTTTTAAAAGTGAGAGTTCTATAAGCATATCAGTGATTTCATTGTTAAGACAAAAGCACTTTTTAATGCATTTTTCCTTCCTGACTGCTAAAACGGTGCTTTTCAACTCTTAGGGGAATGAAAAGGACAGAGTTTTAGGCTAACTCCAAATATTATCCTGATTCCTACTTTTTAAATAACTATCTCTTGTTTGATCATTTTCTGGAGCACTTTTGAAAAATTTTCATTTTAAGTGATGGCAACCTTTATTGAGAGTAAGTTGAAATTTTCTGCAACTCCCAGTGGATTTGTCTTTCTACACAAAATGAGTAATTGAATCCCTAATCTGATCTCAAGCCAGAAATAATCCAGTTTTCTGCATGTTTTAAACAGCATGGTGTCCTGGAGTACTAAACCCCAGCATGATGATCACTGTTCCTCTCTCTCTCCTCGGCCTACTTCACTGCCCCTTCTCTAGTACCACCAGGGAGGAGTTCTTCCCTTCTGCTCTGCTTTCTCTACAATGTATTCTCTTTGATGACAAGACTTCTGTACTGATGAACATCAAATTGCTAACATAATTCTCAACACCTCACTTAAGTCAGAGTTCTGCATCTCCAACAGCCTTCAAAGAACTGCCATTTTCACATCCTGTCCATATCAAATATATTTTCCTAATCTAAACTCTGTCCAGACATAAAAATTGAAAAATCAACAGATCAAGGTAGACTTCAAACAGATCCCATCATACATATAAATGTAATGGATGATAATGGGGATGGGAAGGATTATTTAATTAGTGGTGTTGAGTCAAATAAAAAGCTATTTGAAGGAAAAATACAACTGCTGTCTTCAAAATAATATATGGGTTAAAGAATTAAATACTTTTTAAAAAATCAACTAAAGTTAAACTGAAAGGAAAGTGAATATTTATCAAGCCACTGGAGGTTAGAGGACTTAAACTTAGAAAACAAAAAAAGATCAAGAGTTTGACTAAATAAAAATGGAAACTCTTGTAAGTTGAAAACAGCCAAATTTCAGACACAACATACAGTCCCTTTAAGAAACAGTTTTGTATTACTTCCTTAATACTACAGGCAGTAAAAAAATGTTACACTCAAAGACACTCATCACAGTTATTTGTTAGTGCTTACAATATGCAAAACACTGGAAACAACAGGGGAAATGGCTCAGTAAATTATCCTTTTGGACGATAACCAAAACAAAGTGAGAAAAATGCTTACATGCTTTAAAAAATAAATCCAGGCAAAGACAAGGATGAGAAGGAAACATCTAAATTTTATCAGTAATGCGAGTGGTAGGAGACAATAAACTTTTCTTTTTTGTTCCTCTCTTTATTCTCCTCTTTTTTTCAAACCTCAAATGGATTAAAATAAATATTTACCCTCTTATCATCATCTTGCTTGGGTTTTCTGGTTTTTTGAAGCAATTTTAGGCCTTCAATTTGTCTGACAAGCAGTGGTATAGTCATCTTGAACCGCTCCTCTAGACTCACAGCATCTAAAATCTAAGGAAATGTGAGTCAATTAATAGGATCTCTCTCAGAAACAATCCAAAAACAGGCAGTCAGAGCCATGGTTTGAATTGCCAAGGGTTAAAAAAAAAAATTCTTACCAGTATTCACAGCTACACTACGGCTAAGACAACTCAAATGAACTATATTAATCAGCAAGGTTGTTTGAGATGAGTATCAGAATCCTCAAAAAAGAAAGAAAAAACAGAATCTTGATTTTTCACTTTAAAATGAAGCTGTGTGTTTTTAAGATTAAAAAAACCAGATACACAGTTGACGTCAACTCTTTCTGGGAATTATTCTCTTAAAGCCCAGCATGTGTTTTCATATTAGATCTAAACAAATTATAAGTTCAAAATATTAAATGTTTACATATACAAGACAACAGAAGCACTGAACCAACTCTCACTAGTGATTTGTCGGAGCACGGGCCACACTCCGTTCCTGCAGTAAAACACACTGCTGCCGCCCACAGCCAGGGGGCTCTCTGGCAGTCCTGTAACTCTTCTACTCCCACCGGTTTAATTGAATTCCTGTGTATAACCAACCTGTTTGTGTTAGTTGCATTTGCTATTATAACAGTTGGATTTAAGTATTAAATAAACTGATAACATATGAAAGAGCTGTTTCACTGAAAACAAACAAATGTTCTAGGATGATTCAGTAAAAAAGACTGCTTTAAAAATAAGTGTGCAAGAAAACTTAAAGTATTACAGTTTGGGGATTAAGTCATGTAAATGTAGGATTCTACACTTGGATTACTTTTCAAGTGTCTTTAAAATTCATTTCACTTTAAATAAATATAAATTTAAAATTATAAGTAATGTATCATAGGTGTGATTTATATAAAAACATCATGAAGATTCTAAGAAAAAAGGTCCACACATAAGGGAAGGGCCATGGCTCCACATTTAAAAATAGTGAATCAAAGAATGTCTACATATTTAAGTTAAATTAAATATTCACCCTTTTTTTTTTTTTTTGAGACAGAGTCTCTGTTGCCCAGCCTGGAGTGCAGTGGCACAATCTTGGCTCACTGCAGCCTCCGCCTCCCGGGTTCAAGCGATTCTCCTGCCTCAGCCTCCCAAGTAGCTAGGATTATAGGCGTGCACCACCACGCTCAGCTAATTTTGTATTTTTAGTAGAGATGGGGTTTTGCCATGTTGGCCAGGCTGGTCTTGAACTCCTGATCTCAACTGATCCACCCATCTCGGCCTCCCAAAGTGCTGGGACTACAGGCGTGAGCACGCAGCCAAATACTGACCTTTTTATGATTCTTTGCTTTAACTTTTTCTGTAAATTGACTATTAGTACTGATTATACAAATAAAAGAGATGCTTGTGTAAACAAAAATATAAAACAATCACATTTGAAAGTCAGCTTAAATGTAAAAGCATTTCAACTACTTTGGGTCTCCAATATCTTTTTCTTGAAGGTCAAAACTTAACTACTCACTATCTAGATCTCAATAAAAAGTGACAAAGCAACCTGGCATTCAAGAACGGAACACTGTACCTGGAGTTTCTCTTTGTTGCTTGTTCGGATAATTGATGTCAAGATGTCTGGTAAAGCTTCCCTTGGAAGACTATCTAAAAGACGTCTCAATTTAGCAACTGCAGGGACAGACATATCCAACATTTCAACCAACTAGAAGGGGGAAAAAAAGTCTTTTAAATGAAATCTGGCATTATTTGTGAATTTTTAAAAATCAGGTTTCCATCTAGGTTTAATGTTTGGGCCTCAGTCTTTGTTTTTGAAAGATCACTGATTAATATAGTCCACGTATTTTACAGGCCTCAGAGGAAAAGAAAAGTACTTTCAAAACGTCAGTCAGGATGAAAAGCAATAATGGCTCAAAAGTAGTTAATACTAATGTTTACAAAGGCTTTGTAAACTTGTGCCATGATTATTTTTAACGTTCTATTGAAAAAAATTCAAACGTACAAAAAAGTTGCAAGAATCATACAGTAACTTCTGTATATCCTTATTCCAGATTCATGAATTGAATTCACCAACTGAAAAGTGGCATTTTGCCACGTTTGCTTTCTCTCTCTCCACACTCACACATAATTAATAAACATTTGAGGATAAGCTGCAGAATCGAAATCCTTATTCTTTAAATCTCTAATCCTGTGACAGATTAAGGATCCTTGTTCTTAAGAACAAGAATATTCTCTTACATAATCACAATATAACCCCTATTAGATGCATATTATTAGAAATATGTGTATTATTAGAAATTTAGCATAGTTGATGATATTATCACGGCCAATCAGAAGCTGAAATATTAATATTTAGTATAACATGTATGTATTAGTCTGTTCTCACACTGCTAATAAAGACATACCAGAGACTGGGTAATTTATAAAAGACAGAGGTTTAATGGACTTACAGTTCCACATGGCTGAGGAGGCCTCACAATCATGGAGGAAGGCAAAGGAAAAGCAAAGGCCTGTCTTACACGGCGGCAGGCAAGACAGCGTGTGCAGGGGAGCTATGATTTATATAACCATCAGATCTTGTGAGGCTTATTCACTACCAAGAGAACAGTAAGGGGGAAACCGCCCCCATAATTCAATTATCTACACCTGGCACTGCCCCTGACACACGGGAATTATTACAACTCAAAGTGAGATTTGGGTGGGGACACAGCCAAACCATATCAATTTGGACTAACTAGAATCTGAGCACTGACTGTGAATGATTTTTAGAAAAACAACTGTCAGGGTGTATCTGGGAGTTAAGACAGATTATGCCCAAGACACACTTTCAGTAACTGTGATAGTCATTAGGGCTACTGACAAACTCCCCTTTTCTTCCGGGCACTGCTCTTTCTAACTTCCTTCAAATATATTAATAGGTGTGTCTAAGAGTTTTAAATTGACCCATGAAACACAGTAGAAGTGACAGTTCCTTCCGGGCAGAAGCATTACAAGCCAATGAGAGATATGTCCCATTTCCTTTTCCTGCCTCAGAGATAAGGGAAGCATGTCTTGAGATGAATCTCCAATCCACCTGGGTCCAAGTGACTCTAATAGGCAGACACAACCCCCACTAGTCTCAGGCATGAAGCATGAGCCAGAAAGACACTCATGTCATGTGACTGAGATTTCAGAGAAGTTAACACAGCAAAACTTAGTTCACACTAATTCATAAATGACGTACCAAATCCTCATTTAGTCAATTCAAATAAGATTTCATGTGCTAATAATAATCAAACCCCTCCAACAACATTGTAATTTTGGAACCTATCCATTACCTGCCTAGAATGAAGGGAGTTAAAGTATAATTACGATGCTGTTCAGGTGGAAGAAGTAGGTAATAAAATTTGAATACCCTTACTACTAGGAATTCACCCTATGAAAATAAATAAAACAGTTAACACTCATTTTCCAAACATTTACTGAGTACAAACTATCTGCCAGACCCAATACACTGCTCAGTACAGGATGGCTAAAGGAGAAAAACAAATTCAAATTTGGTAGAGAAAAAATACCTATAAGATACATTTCAATACAATGGGATAAGCATTATGTTAAATTACATGTATGACAGACTGTGAAGGCACAGAGAGAGGAGTGGTAACAGCCTACAGCCGTTGGAAAAGTATAGATTCAATTTTAAAATTCAGAGATGGAGGCCAGGCGTGGTGCCGGTTGGATCATGAAGTCAGGAGTCGAGACCAGCCTGGCCAACATGGGTAAACCTTGTCTCTATTAAAGATACAAAAAATTAGCCGGGCATGGTAGCACATGCCTGTAATACCAGCTACTCAGGAGGCTGACGCAGGAAAATCACTTGAACCCGGAAGGCGGAGGCTGCAGCGAGCCGAAATTGCACCACTGCACTCCAGCCTGGGCGACAGGGTGAGACTCCATTTAAAAAAAAAAAAAAAATCAGAGATGGAAGAGCACTCCCAGCAGAGAACCGAAGGCAGAATCATAGAGACATGAAATAACTCAATGTGAAGCTGTTTTACATTCAGTAGAGCTAGAACTAGGGTGTCAATGAGGTGATAACTAGAGTTGAGGCAAGACAGATAGGCCCAAGACAAGTTGCAAACGGTCTTAATGTTATACTAAGAAATTTCGTGTTCATCCTATAGCCATTAAAGTCTTTTATTCAAGGGAAAGGGATGCCCCAAACTTCTTTTAGAAAGGCTCAGTGAAGAGAAAAGGTTCAAGACGAAGAACTAGGAGACAAGAGGCTATTGAAGAAGTCCATTGAAGAGGGCTGTAGAAGTAGATGCAGAAGGGGATGAAAGAGAATAATTAATTGGAAATAAACTTAATGTCTAAAAAGGGAAATTACAAAATTAGTATACATTAACTCAATGAAATTAATAAAAGTACTTAATATTAACCTTAGACATGGATAAAAAAACAAAACATATAATTGAATACGAAATTTAACAAAAATTAAATTTGATGCATGATGATAGTAAGATGTGTGGTGATCTATTTATCTCTAAAAATTCCTTTAATGTCACTGTAAAATCTTTAAAAGTTTAAAAGGTTTTTCTAGATTCAAAGTGCAAAGAAGTAAAGGCAATGCGAAAGAGGCCATGTCTAACAGAAGCACAAAGACCCAGCGAACATCACTGCCAAAAAGAAAAAGAAATTCTATTTCTCTCAATCTCCTTTATTCCGAAGCAGTATATTCACTATTCAGCTTTCAAACTGAAGTTTCTTTCCTCAAAGTCCTTTTTTTCAGCTCTCATAGAAATTACAGATTCGAATTTTCAATATTTCTTTTTTTTTTTTTTGAGTCAGGGTCTCATTCTGTTGCCCAGGCTGGAGTGCAGTGATGCAATCTTGGCTCACTGCAACCTCCACCTCCTAGGTTCAAGTAATTCTCCCACCTCAGCCTCCCCAGTAGCTGGGACTACAGGCACGCACCATCACACCCAGCTAATTTTTGTACATTTTGTAGAGACGGGATCTCACCATACTGCCCAAGCTGATCTCAAACTCCTGGGCTCAAGCAATCCGCCTACTTCAGCCTCGCAAAGTGCTGGGATTACAAGCGTGTACCACCGCAGCCGGCCCTCAAATTTTCTATTTTTCTATTATTGTTCATTACACTATAAGTATGGCTCTTCAAATGCCATATCAGATACAAGTACCACAGGCTATGAGCACTTGCCCTACACATAGTTCAATGATCAGTAGTATTTATAATAGAAACTTTTAAACATCTGATCCTCATAGATCTAGTTATAGTCACTGGATTATATTAATAGAAAAGTAGACTATACTTTATAATTTTATATGTTTCATTAAGGTTTGAAACAAAATGGGGTGGGAAGAGGAGCTTTCTGTTCTATCTAGAGTTAACCAAAAAAACTAGAATTAAGGAGTCAAATATTTAATGCATATCTAAAATGTGCTTCCCTCCCAGCATTCTAGTTAATTAAGGTTTTAACCATACTTGAAACCAGCCTACCACAGGCTTGATCTGCCATAGTTACTGCTAGACAATGTGATCCTGACTTCTGAAGTAATATAACTTATATAAATGGTGCCTAGATATTTTAGTGACAAATAGCTTCTGTGCAGTATTTTATTTTTTAGCTTTAAATATTTAGGTTTAATAATTATCTAGTTTAGAGACAGTAGAAGTTAGAAAGAAAACTGTAGAAATAACATTTGGAAAAACTTTAGAAAGGGTAGGCCAATATGTCCTGGAATGATGTAGGCAGAACCCCCGACAAGAGTAAATCAGAATTAATATATTATGTTACTAAGTCATTTAAATGTATACTGTCCTAAAACTTCACCATCCAACAGATTCATCGTATCTTAGGAAAGCAAAGGAACCAAAAACAAATGGGTTTTAAGAAAAAACAAAAGCAACTTACTTGTACCGCATATTTGTAAAACTGCTCCGATAGTTCTCCTAGCTCCTCCCTCATTTTACAGGTGCTGGGAAACTCCTCAAGTCGGTCCAATTGCTCTACTTCAGCAATGGGATATGGCTTCTCTTTTAAGACCTGCACAATCTGGAAACGGCACAGGCCTGTAATCAACAGAGTATAGTGGGGCTTGGGCCAGTTACTGCCCACAACCTGAACGGCCAGTGCAGCTGTGCCAATCCTGAAAAACACACAAAACAGTGGTATTACAAACATTCAACATGGTAGAACAGAAACTCACTTCCGAAAGTGTTGGCTTTTCTAATAAATTCATTAAGCAAAAAAAAAAAACTGAAGTGTAAATAAATTATTTCTCTATTTAACTTAGCATCCAGCATGTGGCCTCTTCCGCCACTACCCTCAGCTATACGGCAAAGCGGGCCATCTCACTATAATCCGCACCTCTTTTAAAAAATTAGGTAGGAATTTGTAAACACTTGGATTATCAGGCATAAAAATGTAAGAGGAAAGTAGTTCAGAATTACATATCTTAAATTAACGTTGCCAACTAAGAATAAGGCAATCTTATACCAGGATAAATATCAATTTAAATACATTTAAATATAAATAGCATTAACCAATCTAAGAAATCTCTGTTCCAACACCAGCTGTTCTACTAACATCGAGTCAGTTTTCTTACATAATCTATGAAACTTCCATATACCCACCTTATCACGAACTGGGAACTTACGTATTATGCCCTTAACACTGAATTTCTAAGTGTGAGGGCTAAATATTACAGTCCACACACTGCCATAGACTGAGGAGAGCTAAAGAAAGACCCACATCTCAAAAGGTCTCAACCTAGTTCTAAGTGGTAATCACTTTTCCTAACAATAGGTGAAAAGGCTTTAAGTCTCAGCTCCTCACCAGCAAATACAACTCTGATCAAGTCACATATAAATTTAATTCACAGAAAGGAAGCCTCATCCAAACTAAGCCAGTTATATAAAATATAAAAATCAACATTGAGAAGATACTTCCAGATCCCAAAATAAATAATATTTTCTCCCTTCAGCCATAGGAAAACTGGTAATTCCAGAAAAGAAAATAGAAGGACTAGAACTCTCAACACCTTGGGAAAGCGGTAATAGGAGAACACCACACCTGCCCATCTCAAAGATAATAAATCATATAATACAGTATGTGAATATGAGTGAACTTGCTTACTTCTATACACAGTGAATTCTTGATTACTTCCTTATAAATTACTCATTCCATGGATTACACATAGCCTTTGGCTTCTTTCTGCCACTCAGCTTATTCTGAACTACGTCTATCCTTTCTTACCTTTCAGTCATTACCATATTTACAATAAAAACTGATTTAACTAATAACTTAAGCCAAACAACTGAGGAGATAAATTGGTGAGGGAAAAAAAATCACGTACATAAAAAACTTGAAATTATTTAGCAATTGGCTATTATTTTGACTTATTCATGTTGTGGTTGCTTTTCTTCAATCAATAGTAGATCTTATTTCCCACTTCCTGAAAGCCCACTCAGATTGCCTGAGAAAGTGAGCCACATCTAAACTGATTAGAGAATAACTTAAACCATAATTCATTGCAGATGATATTCATCAATGTTTGCACAAGGCTGAAAGAGCTCACAGTCCTGTTTGTATATAAAACATCCACAGACAAGAAACTGGATCCCCAGCCTAAAGGGTTTACAAAGTAGAAACCAAGGAGGAACCAGAGAGATGAGACAAATCCAAACCTCCAGATCAGGAGACAAATTTAATTATTTGGGCTACATCACTGCTAAAAGGTGATGCTAAAGAGGTTTTTTTTGGTGTTTTTTTTGTTTTGTTTTGTTTTTTTTAGAGAGTCTCGCTTTGTCACCAGGCTGGAGTGCCGTAGCGTAATCTTGGCTCACTGCAACCTCCGTCTCCCAGGTTCAAGTGATTCTCCTGCCTCAGCCTCCCAAGTAGCTGGGACTACAGGCGCACGCCACCACATGCAGCTAATTTTTTGTATTTTTTGTAGAGATAAGGTTTCACCATGTTGGCCAGGATGGTCTCGATCTCTTGACCTCATGATCCGCCCACCTCGGCCTCCCAGAGTGCTGGTAGTACAGGTGTGAGTCACTGCAGCTTTTCTGTTTGTTTGTTTTAGAGGAAGTCTTGTCCTGTCGCCCAGGCTGAAGCACAATGGCGTGATCTTGGCTTACTGCACCCTCCCTCCTGCGTTCAAGGGATTCTCGTGCCTCAGCCTCCCAAGTAGCTGGGATCACAGGCACATACCACCACACCCAACTAATTTTTGTATTTTTAGTAGAGACGGGGTTTCACCATGTCGGCCAGGCTGGTCTCAAACTCCTGACCTCAGGTGATCCACCCACCTCAGCCTCCCAAAGTGCTAGGATTACAGGCATGAGCCACCAACCTGGCCAAAAGGGGTTTTCCTATAAAGCAAATACAATATTTTTGCTGTGAAAGGAAGATGTTCCAAACTGAAGAGATTAAGCTGAATTTATACTATGTCTACAAAAGGTATAGATGTATACATGTCTTAACTGCTTTTTACTTAAAATCACTTATAGTTGACTAGAAATTATCCCTTTTTAAAAAATCTTTTTTTTTTTTTTTTTAAACAGAGATGGGGTCTCATTATGTTGACCAGGCTGAACTCGAACTACTGGCCTCAAGCAATCCTCCCATCTCGGCCTCCCAAAGTGCTAGGATTACAGACATGAGCTACCGCACCCAGCCTAGAATATATCCCTTTTACAGAAAAACATCTGTGAAACTATAGATGGCTAGAAACAGAGTACCTGGTGAGACATTTTGGGTGAAAAGCATAGTGAAAAAGAATCTATTGTATATTGGGCCCCAGGTTTTATATATACAAACAGGTAAACAAACAAAATATTCAACTAATATTTTCCTATGATATACAAAAGGTTGTACATCAAGTCAGTCTTTTTTTTTTTTTTTTTTTGAGACGGAGTCTCGCTCTATCGCCCAGGCTGGAGTGCCGTGGTGAGATCTCGGCTCACTGCAAGCTCCGCCTCCCAGGTTCACGCCATTCTCCTGCCTCAGCCTCCCGAGTAGCTGGGACTACAGGCGCCTGCCACGCCTGGCTAATTTTTTTTTTTTTTTTTTTTGTATTTTTTAGTGGAGACGGGGTTTCACCGTGTTAGCCAGGATGGTCTTGATCTCCTGACCTTGTGATCCGCCCGCCTCGGCCTCCCAAAGTGCTGGGATTACAAGCAAGAGCCACTGTGCCCAGCCTCAAGTCAGTCATTTTTCTAAAAATTCTGGCTCTTCCATTGTATGTGCATTATTAGGTATGCTCAAAAGGCAGCATTTTAATTTTGCAACAGATCTAAACTTACACATCCCAATGACTGGTGTCCTTCCCTTTAGCTAGTAGCTCCGTAAATCTACATCCTAACTATGATATTGTTCAAAGAAGTTTTGAAACTCCTAACTCAAATCTACCCTCAGAGTTTGTAAGATAATGTTTTAATCCAAATCCTAACTCAAATCTACCCTCAGAGTTTGTAAGATAATGTTTTAATCCAAATCCTAACTCAAATCTACCCTCAGAGTTTGTAAAATATTGTTTTAATTCAAATGAGGTCTGACTACAACGGTTAATAATTTGTATAATTTGGAAACTGACCTAAATAATATAAGAGGTCCAAACATTTAAGAACCATCAACTGCAGTAGTAGGAAAATCTAAAAGCAGCACTACTGGAAAAAGCAGTTTTCCAAGATGAGGATATTATGTAAATATTTAATTCTGGCCTATATGCCCAGCACTTGCTTTTTTTTTTTTCCTATAGACAGAATCTTGCTCTGTCACCCAAGCTGGAATGCAGTGATGTGATTATAGCTCACTGCAGCTTCAATCACCTGGGCTCAAGTAATCCTCCCGCCTCAGCATCATGAGTAGGTGGGACTACAGGCACATGCCACCAGGCCCAGCCACTTTAAAAAATTTTTTTTACTCAAAGCCCTTCATTTTTCTTGGAATCTTTAATCTTCCAAGACCTTCCGGCAATGATGCTAGTTCAGTTCAGCCCATGATGGAATAATATGGGGCCTCCCCACTACTCTCTTTAATCCCCTTTTGTGAAAATCTACATTTAAAACTACCCATTTGGATATAGGTTTAGAATGCTTTGCAGTTTCAAAAGGCTTTCATATGTATACTTCATTTTATACCTCCTTTCACCCCATGAAGAAGGTAGTATTATTTCCTTATTACAAGTGAGTAAATGAGATTCAAAAAGGTAGAACATGTCCTGGTGGCTCATGCCTATAATCCCAGCACTTTGGGAGGCCAAGGCAAGTGGATTGCTTGGGCTCAGGAGTTCAAAACCAGCTTGAGCAACATGGCAAAACCCCATTTCTACCAAAAAAAAAATAGCTGGACATGGTGGCACATGCCTGTAGTCCCAGACACTCAGGAGGCTGAGGTGGGAGGATCACTTGAACCTGGCAGGCAGAGGTTGCAGTGAGCCGAGATGGCACCACTGCACCAGCATGGGTAACAGAATGAGACCCTGTCTCAAAAAAATAAAAGTAGAACAACTTAGTTATACACGGTTACAAGAAAATTTAATAGAAATAAATTTAAGAAATCAATTTAAATTTAAAATTTAAAAGATAAATTTAATAAATTAAGAGTTCCTTAATTATATTTTAAGACAAATTTTACTTTTTTCCCATCACAATGGACAATAGGTTCCACTGGTACCTACAAGAATTATAAACATAGACCAGGCATGGTAGCTCATGCCTGTAATCCTAACACTTTGGGAGACTGAGGCAGGAGGATCACTTGAGCCCACAAGTTTGACACCAGTCTGGTCAACACAGGGAGACTACATCTGTACTTCATTTTTTGCTTTTTGAAACAGGGTCTCATTCTGTCACCCAGGCTGGAGTGTAGTGGCACAATCACGGCTCACTGCAGCCTAGACCTCTCCAGCTCAGACAATCCTCCCACCTCAGCATCCCCAAATAGCTAGGATTACAGGCATGTGCCACCATGCCTGGCTAATTTTTTCTTTTTTTTTTTTGGTAGAGACAGGGTCTTCCTATGTTGCCGGGCTGTCTTGAACTCCCGGCCTCAAGTGATCTTCCTGCCTCGACCTTCCAAAGTGCTGAGATTACAGGCATGAGCCACTGTAGCCAGCCTCTCACTCTTTCTTAAAACTTCATTTCTAAATTCAAGAAATACCATTAGTGTATCATATATCTTCCTTAAGAAGAGTCAATGAAGATTTAGGAAAATCTAATATAATAGATTAAATTTTAAAATTTTACCATTATCAGGTAATATTTATTGAATGTCTAAGAATTCTAAGAATACAAATAGGTATAATGTATGGATGAAGAACTGATCCAACTTATGAAAGTGTGCACCTGTTATAAATAAGGCATTAATAGCTTGTTAGATAAATGCCAATGAAACTTAGCTGGGTTCTTACTGATAAGAAGCCAGCCAACAAAGAGGGGGACTGAGAAGTCGGCACTATGAGGAAATGAAGCCACGTACCCTGAAGAGTGTAAATTTGGAAGAAGGCTGGATGACCACCTTGAAATGCTTGAAAGGATATTGTATAGGCAGTGCTAAATTATGACCCTTTTCACTAAGAAAACAATGGGTCACTCAGGAGGCACTAAAAATGCAGTTAAACTAAGCAGAAAAACGCAGGGTGCCCTAGGTCAGCATGCCAGCCAAGTTCTACACTGCAGGACAAGTTCAAAGCTCCTCCTTTAAAAAGACTCCTACAGGTAACATGCCTGCACACTAATGTGCAGAAAGGGACTGTGCTACTCAAAACCACCAAGGAAGCGGCAGAGGTGAGTCAACATCTAACCCTGCCACTCTGTGTGGCAAAGAACGCTGGGAGCAAATTACTTCTGCTGCTCCTTGAAGGCTGCATCCAGTGTCACCTGGATGGTGTAAAGGAAACAAGAGACAGGAACAGAGCCCCTCATCTCGCCTCTGGGCTACCATACGGAAAAGCAGGTAACTGGGGAAGGACAGATTTGTGCATGGAAACAGACTAATGCTATGGATAACTCAGTATTGGTATTATTAAAGCCTTTTTTTTTCTTTTTTCTTTTTTTTTTTTAAGTAGAGTGTTTTAAAGGCCATATTGAAGGAAAAAAAGACATTGGAAACTATTACCAAGGAATATGGTACAGTCTTTCCACATAGGCTTTTTAAGTAGCAAACAATACTTCTAGGATAACTAGATGGTCTAATGAGTTCTTATAATGCCGGAATTCTATGAAGACTTTTCAATTTATGCTTTCTAATTTAAATGATTAAATTTTAACATTGCTACTCAGTTAAAGGCAATAATATGAATATCAAGGATCAGATCACACAGTATCTGATTATTAGTGATTACTTTCAAGCAGGAGAATTGAAGATTGTTGTTTTGGAGGGATTTTCATAAAATAAATTAAAAACCTGAAGGGTATGGTGGCGCTTGCCTATAGTGCCCAGCTACTCCAGAGGCCAAAGCAGGGGATAGCTTGAGTCCAGGAGTTCAAGACCAGCCTAGGCAACATAGTGAGACCCCATCGCTACAAAAAATTTAAAATTTAGCTGGGTGTAGTGGTGCACACCTGTAGTCCCAGCCACTCCAGAAGCTGAGGCAGGAGGATCACTTGAGCCCAGGAGTTCAAGGTTGCAGTGGGCTATGATAACGCCATTGCACTTCGGCCGAGGAGACAGAATGAGACACTGTCTCAAAAAATAAATAAATGAATAAATAATAAAAATCCTCCAAAATCTTGCCAGAATAATACCAACAAATAGTGAAATTTAAAATGTGACTAAATCGACTTTTCAAGTTCACAGTGTGCCCGTGGTTAATCAATACATATGTACAGTAGAAAGAAAACGCAAAGTCTAATCATGACCACGCTTGCCTAGACAGGGAACCAAGTGCCTGGGCACAGAAGGCAAAAAAATTTGGGAAAAGTAAGCAGAAGGAGCAGGGTCACATGTTGCGAAACTGGAATCCAATACAATTTATCAAAGAGTACTGAAACTTGGAATGTGACCAGTTCCACTCAGGCAATAACCAAAGCAGGTCAGATGGGAGCCAAAATATTTTCCATGCTTGAGAAAATCAAGGCTTTTACAATATAAATGAATATTGGGCTATTGTGGAAGGTTTGTTGGTCTTTGTTGCTTTGTTTTGCTTTCTTTTAATGGGGGTGCGGGGGAGGTACCCATCCCCTTTGAGAACTGAAGAAAGCAAAGGATTTGCCTAAAAAAAAAAATGTACATAGTCACAAGATTTTGAAGGAAAATGAGGCATGTCTAACCCTCTGGAAATCCATTCAGAGTCAGGAACCCCTAATTTAAAAATGAGTGATAACTGCCAGGAAAAGAGAAGCTCTAAACTGAAAACACACCACCTCCAGTAGAGTTAGGAATAGTAGGCGGGTGCTTGCGAGGTGAGTTTGAAGATACTTGTTGAGAGTATACTACATACCAGCATTGTCCAATAAAAATATAATGTGGGCCACATATAAAATTTTAGTGGCCACATTATAAAGGAAAAACAGCACAAATCTTAACATTTTATTAACCCCAAGTACTCAAAACATTACCATTCCAACATTTAATCTATATAAAATGTATTAATCAAAAAGATTTTTCAAAATTTGGTGTGTACTGTACACTTACAGCACATTTAGGGTGACCAACCTCTTGGTTTCCCTGGGACGGAGGGGCTGAAACATAGGACTTTCAATGCTAAAACAATCCCAGCAAACCAGGACAAATGGCAAATCTAGCAACTCAATTTGACAAGCCACATGCACTACACAGTACTGGACAGCACAGTCATCCAAGCATGTTGCAAAGCGGAATATACACATTATTCAATTTATTCTTCATAACATGCCTAAAAGATGGATGCTGTCAGTTTCCAAACTACAGACTAAAAGAAACAGAGGTTAAGGCTCTCACCCAAAGTCACACCAATAAGGCGACGGTACTGGGCAATACAGTAGCAAGCCTGGTGCCTAAGAAATGTTATGAGTGAAGGAGCAGAGGTGAGAAGCTAGGAAAGTTCCAGAAAGGGGGAACCAGCGAAAACGTGAGCACGAAAGGCCCTTTACAAAAGGAAACAGAAGTATTAGGGGGAGAAGGAAAAGGGTGACAAGGAGTATAGCAGGCACCCACAAATAGTGCAGTTTAGGAATGAAACAAGAAAAAGTTAAAACTTACGGAGCAGAGAATGTCTCAGCGGACAAAAATAATGGGTGACAGAAAAGGGGAGGCGGATAGGAGGAAACGGCAGTGGGGAGAAAGGCGGAAAGTGAAGGCAGAGATCACCGGGGAGAAAGGGCCTAAAGAGTTAAAAGCACTGGCCTAGGAGGCTGAAGACCGAGGGCGAGGAATTGCGGGGCGGAAAGAGGATTCAAATTAAATCATTCAGAGTGGCAGGGAACCGAGTAGTTTCACCAGGTATCAGGCACTACTTCATGAACAATCTCATTCATGGTCATGGGGCAGGTATCTGTCATCCCCAGTTTGCATTTGATAGCACCGGAGAGGCGGAACCGAGCCGCGAAGGCCGCCCCGAACCGAGACTCGCGCTCAAGACAGGCTGTGGCCTGGGCCCGGGTCCCCGGAGGAGGCCGCGCCGCCCGCCGCCGCCGCGGGGGCAGCCAGGCCTACCTGTGCAGCGGCGGCAGGTCCTGCGCGTCGCTGGCGGGGTCAGGCGTGTTGGGGATGACGCCCAGGATGGTGCTCTGCAGCGACGTGCCCTTCAGCAGGCGGTTCCGCACCAGCTGCAGGTTGCGGGCCGAGTCCACGCTGGTGCGCATGGTGGAGCCGGGCAGCAGGACGCCCTCGTGGGTGAGCAGCAGCGGGAGGCGGCTGGGGATCTGGATGGGGCTCACTGATGACATGGTGGCAGCCGTTCGCACTGGGGGCTGTCAAAAGGAGCAAGACAAACAGCTGCCCGCGACCCGCTCCGCAGCGACCAAACCTCAGACCCGCCTCCGCGCCCCCGCTTCCGGCTACGCGATACGGTCCGCCCCCGGGCCCAGAAGCCATCGCTTCGCGCTGCTCTCTTGCAGAGCCTCCCGATAACACTTGCGCGTGGTACCTCTACGAAAAGAGGTGCACTCAAGCGTGCGGCGACCTTCGCCTCACTTACAGAGTATATTTGGAAGGATGATCTTATTTGAATTGTGTATACTTGAAGTGTGTTTAACTTTTTTCAATTTTTTTATATATACTTGAAGAGTTTTTAAGTTTTGATTTGAGTTATTTATTTATTTATTTATTTAGAGACAGATTCTCGCTCTGTCGCCGAGGCTTGAGTGCAATGGCGCGATATCCGCGCCTTGCAGCCTCCGCCTCCCGGGTTCAAGCGTTTCTCCTGCCTCAGCCTCCTGAGTAGCTGGGATTACAGATGCCGGCCAACACACCCAGCTAATTGTTGTGTTTTTAGTAGGGAGGGGATTTCACCATGTTGGCCAGGCTGGTCTCTAATTCCTGACCTCGAGTGATCCGTCCACCTCGGCCTCCCAAAGTGCTGGGATTACAGGCGTGAGCCAACGTGCCCGGCCCGAATTGATTTTAGATGTACAAAACTACAGCAAAGAGTTCCTATATACCTTTCACCCAGTTTTGTCTGTTATCATCTTACATAATCATAGTTCAATTATCAAAACCAGAAAATTAACATTACTATCTTTTAACCGGTAGATCTTAACCAAATTTTGCCAGTTTTCCCACTAATGTACTTCATTGGATCTGGTCCAGGATCCAATATTCAGGATCCCACTCTTTATTTTGTTGTAAAATCTCCTGGGTGTTCTCTAATCTGTGGCAATTCCTCAATTTTTTTTTTCTTTAAAACCTTGATACTTTTATTGTATTTTTTTTCTGTTTTTTATTTTATTTTATTTTTATTATACTTTAAGTTCTAGGGTACATGTGCACAACATGCAGCTTTGTTACATATGTATACATGTGCAGCACCCATTAACTGGTCATTTACATTAGGTATATCTCCTAGTGCTATCCCTCCCCCCTCCCCCCACGCTGTGTCCAAGTGTTCTCATTGTTCATTTCCCACCTGTGAGTGAGAACATGCGATGTTTGGTTTTTTTGTCCTTGCGATAGTTTGCTCAGAATGATGGTTTCCAGCTTCATCCATGTCCCTACAAAGGACATGAGCTCATCCTTTTTTATGGCTGCATAGTATTCCATGGTGTATATGTGCCACATTTTCTTAATCTAGTCTGTCATTTATGGACATTTGGGTTGGTTCCAAGTCTTTGCTATTGTGAATAGGGCCACAATAAACATATGTGTGCTTGTGTCTTTATAGCAGCATGATTTATAATCCTTTGGGTATATACCCAGTAGTGGGATGGCTGGGTCAAATGATATTTCTAGTTCTAGTCACTTGAAGAATCACCACACTGTCTTCCACAATGGTTGAACTGGTTTACAGTCCCACCAACAGTGTAAAAGTGTTCCTATTTCTCCACAACCTCTCCAGCACCTGTTGTTTCCTGACTTTTTAATGATTGCCATTCTCACTGGTGTGAGATGGTTATCTCATTGTGGTTTTGATTTGCTTTTCTCTGATGGCCAGTGATAATGAGCAGTTTTTCATGTGTCTATTGGCTGTATAAATGTCTTCTTTTAAAAAGTGTCTTTTCATGTCTTTTGCCCACTTTTTGATGGGGTTGTTTGATTTTTTTCTTGTAAATTTGTTTAAGTTCTTTGTAGATTCTGGATATTAGCCCTTTGTCAGATGGGTAGATTGCAAAAATTTTCTCCCATTCTGTAGGTTGCCTGTTCACTCTGATGGTAGTTTCTTTTGCTGTGCTCTTTAGTTTAATTAGATCCCATTTGTCAATTTTGGCTTTTGTTGCCATTGCTTTTGGTGTTTTAGTCATGAAGTCCTTGCCCATGCCTATGTACTGACTGGTATTGCCTAGGTTTTCTTCTAGAGTTTTTATGGTTTTAGGTCAAACATTTCAGTCTTTAATCCATCTTGAATTAATTTTTGTATAAGGTGTAAGGGAGGGATCCAGTTTTAGTTTTCTACATATGGCTAGCCAGTTTTCCCAGCACCATTTATTAAATAGGGAGTCCTTTCCCCATTTCTTGTTTCTGTCAGGTTTGTCAGAGATCAGATGCTTGTAGATGTGTGGTATTATTTCTGAGGGCTCTGTTCTGTTCCATTGGTCTTTATCTCTGTTTTGGTACCCATACCATGCTGTTTTGGTTACCGTAGCCTTGTAGTATAGTTTGAAGTCAGGTAGTGTGATGCCTCCAGCTTTGTTCTTTTGGCTTAGGATTGTCTTGGCAATGCAGGCTCTTTTTTGGTTCCATATGAACTTTAAAGTACATTTTTACAATTCTATGAAGAAAGCCATTGGTAGCTTGATGGGGATGGCACTGAATCTATAAATTACCTTGGGCAGTATGGCCATTTTCACGATATTGATTCTTCCTATCCATGAGCATGGAATGTTCTTCCATTTGTGTCCTCTTTTATTTCATTGAGCAGTGGCAAAACCTTGATACTTTTAAAGGATACCAGTCAGTTATTTTGTAGAAGTTCATTCAATTCGAGTTTATCTACTGTTTCTCATGATTAGATCAATGGTATGCATTTTGGGACCAAATACTATGAAAGAGATGTTGTGGGCCGGGCACAGTGGCTGAAGCCTGTAATCCCAGCACTTTGGGAGGCCAAGCTGGGCAGATCATCTGAGGTCAGGAGTTTGAGACCAGCCTGGCTAACATGGTGAAATCCCATTTCTACTAAAAATACAAAAAATTAGCTAGGCGTGGTGGTGCATGCCTGTAATCCCAGCTACTTGGGAGGCTGAGGCAGGAGAATTGCTTGAACCCAGGAGGCAGAGGTTGCAGTGAGCCGAGATCAGGCCATTGCACTCTGGCTTGGGCATCAAGAGTGAAACTCTGTCTCAAAAAACAAAAAAAAGTGATGTTGTGGCCATGTGATATACGATGGTGAAATGTCTTATTAATGATGGTTTGAATCTTGACTACTTGGTGAAGGTGGTATCTGCCAGATTTGTTCACTGTAAGTTACTATTTTTCTCTTTGTAATTAGTAAGTACTGCATAAGGAGATAATTTTACATTTATTTATTTATTTTTCCTCCAACTTTTATTAGGCTGGTGCAAAAGTAATGGCAAGAAACCGCAATTACTTTTGCACCAACCTAATATTTTAAGTTCTGGGGTACATGTGCAGATGTACAGGTTTGTTACATAGGCAAACATGTGCCATGGTGGTGTGCTGCACAGATCAATCCATAACCTAGGTGTTAAGCCCAACATCCGTTAGCTATTCTTCCCAATGCTCTGTCTTCCCCTACCCCTGCCCCAATCAGACTCCATTATGTTGTTCCCCCACCGTGTGACCATGTGTTCTCATCCTTCAGCTTCCACTTCTAAATGAGAACATACAGTGTTTGGGTTTCTGATCCTGTGTTAGTTTGCTGAGGGTAACAGCTTCCAGCTCCATCCATGTCCCTGCAAAGGACATAATCTGATTCCTTTTCATGGCTGCATAGTATTCCATGGTGTGTATGTACCATATTTTCTTTATCCAGTCTATTGTTGATGGGCATTTAGGTTGATTCCATGTCTTCACTATTGTGAATAGTGCTGCAGTGAACTTACATGTGCATGTATCTTTAAAATAAAGTGATTTATATTCCTTTGGGTATATACCCAGTAATGGGATTGCTGGGTCAAATGGTATTTCTGCTTCTAGATCTTTGAGGAATTGCCATACTGTCTTCTGCAATGGTTGAACTAATTTACATTGTCACTAACAGTGTAAAAGCATTCCTTTTTCTCTGCAATTTTGCCAGCATCTGTTGTTTCTTGACTTTTTAATAATTGCCATTCTGACTGGTGTGAGATGGCGTCTCACTGTGGTTTTGACTTGCATTTCTCTAATGATCAGTGATGTTGAGTTTTTTTCATGTTTGTTGGCCACATGAATATCTTCTTTTGAGAAGTGTCTATTCATGTCCTTTGCCCAATGGGGTTGTTTGTTTTTTTTTTTCTTGTAAATTTGTTTAAGTTCCTTGTAGACTCTGGATATTAGACCTTTGTCAGATGGATAGATTGCAAAATTTTTCTTCCATTCTGTAGGTTGTCTGTAGGTTGTCTGTTCACTCTGCTAGTAGTTTCTTTTGCTGTGCAGAAGCTCTTTAGTTTAATTAGATACCATTTGTCAATTTTTGCTTTTGTTGCAATTGCTTTTGTGGTTTTCATCGTGAAATGGTTGCCCGTGCCTATGTCCTGAATGGTATTACCTAGATTTTCTTCTAGAGGGGTATGTGTGTGTGTGTGTGTGTGTGTGTGTGTATGTGTGTGACAGAGTCTCACTGTGTCGCCCAGGCTGGAGTGCAGTGGCGTGATCTCGGCTCACTGCAAGCTCCGCCTCCTGGGTTCACGCTGTTCTCCTGCCTCAGCCTCCCGAGTAGCTGGGACTACACGCACCTGCCACCACGCCCAGGTAATTTTTTGTATTTTTCGTAGAAATGGGGGTTTCACCATGTTAGCCAGGATGGTCTCAATCTCCTGACCTTGTGATCCGCCCACCTCAGCCTCCCAAAGTCCTGGGAATTACAGGCGTGAGCCACCTCGCCTGGACCTTCTAGAGTTTTTATAGTTTTGGGTTTTACATTTAAGTCTTTAATCCATCTTGAGTTAATTTTTGTATAAGGTGTAAGGAAGGGGTCCAGTTTCAATTTTCTGCATATGGCTAGCCAGTTCTCCCAGCACCATTTATTAAATTGGGAATCCTTTCCCCATTGCTTGTTTTTATCAAGTTTGTTGAAGATCAGGTGATTGTAGGTGTAATTTTACATTTATTATTTAGAATTCTCCTGTAAGAAAGCACTGTTCCATTTACCCCATTTATTTACTTACTCAATTACTTTTTAATGTTAGTATGGTCTCATAGATATTTAGTTCTTATGGATTTTTTTTTTTTTTTTTGAGATGGAGTCTCACTCTGTCGCCCAGGATGGAGTGCAGTGGTGCGATCTCGGCTCACTGCAAGCTCTGCCTCCCGGGTTCGTGCCATTCTTCTGCCTCAGCTTCCTGAGTAGCTGAGA